ACATTGCAAGTACTGTAGATCGATCACTCATTGTCACCCGAAGCCATAGCCATCTCCACAACCAACAACCAGTGCCAAAGCTGCTGCTTAGCTTCGACTTGAATGGTGCGCACAAGGCAGAAAGAACCAAATTATTAAGTTTCCCCAGATTCCTATTCCGCTTCCGCTTTAAGCTTCAAGCTGGAGCCTGCCTCCGCCGCTTAAACAGAGTTTGAATTTATTTATTGTACTGTATTGTATTGAAGTTATGTTATTTGCCAAGCCAATCCACCGCCTCGCCCCGCACCCGCACCCGAACCCATCTAGTCAATGCCCTTGTGGGCTGCAATTCTGGCTCAGAGTGCATTTTGTTATTAGTTATTTATTGATTAATTGATTGTTTGATTGTTTAACGTGCCGAATCTCAAGTTTCGCACTTAAAGGCAGGCATAAAGACGGCCAGACAGCGTCCAAGCTTAGCTCTTGCTCCAAGCGAATCTCAAGGGAACCTCTAAAACACACACAATATGTGCCGCTTCGCAACGTGCCGTCTATAATACAAATACCATCCCCCCCCCAAAGCATATACATATAAAAACACACAAATTTAATTTCAATTTGTTTTTTATGTATTTGAAATCTTGCACAACTTCCTTCTCAAGTATTAAAGCGATATTATTTTAAAATTTAACCTTATTGTTATACATACAAATATTTATAAAAACCAAACTAAAACAAAACAAAAACAAAAATCAAGCCAAAAAATCCTAAAACAAACGCATACAATTTATCAGCAAAACAAAGAGAAAGTAAAGCTACTAAATCATAGAAAATAAAGCTAAAACAAACAAATGTCTATAAAATTCACATCAATTTATGTATGCTAAAAACCTAAAAACAAATTATGAATACAACCAAGAAACGTGTTTAGTCCGTAAGCCGAAGAGAGAGGGAAGAAGAAAACAAACAAATTATATATATAATATACATACATAAATCATATAAAATTGTGAATCTAAAGGCATATTTATATAACAAACAAAACACTTAGCGTAATGAAAGAGATCCGAACAAACGTTATACATATATGAAATTATATGAAAAAAGGAGGAAGAGACGAGAGATACAATATTAACGATTATTATGTATATGTTGATTTTAAAGCCAAAGACTCAAAGCTAAATTCTATTCTAAACAAATTTTAGTAGAACGCATCGAAATCTGTTAATTACTTCATTTAAATGTTGTTATTCCTATTATTTTATGTACGACGACACATTTCATGCGATGCGATGCGGTAAAATTTGTTTCAGTTTATGTTTTCAATCTATCCACAGAGCAAAAGGAATTCTGCTAAAAGAAATCATTACAAAAAAATATATACTTATAATTATATTGCAAGGATGGATAGCCAAGGACCCTTCAAGGACAGGAGATTTATTAACTATAAGCAGCGTTGTTGACTAAAAAAAAAACAAAACAAAAATAAATAAAACAGAAGTAAAACCAAAAATGCAGAGGAGTCAGAGGCAAGCATGAAGCATAAAATTTGTATGTAATAATGAACGCCCAGTGTCTAATAATATGTATTTGTGAAATAGCAAGCCCTGCGCAAGCGCTAGTTACCCATTTACAATTGAAATGTTAACCTAAAGTATTCTCAAAAACGCATTTTACCAAAAAAATATATATATATATAACAAAAACGAAACTACCCAAAAAAAAAGGAAGAATAAGGAGAAGACATAGGCAAAAATGTTACAAAGATAAAAAAAAATAATTTTATAAAACAATGAGCTCAATCGCTAGACGATCCAGGCCATTGAGAAGATTGAAAATATAGACAAATAGTAGCGCTATTCAATTAAAGAAAAAGAAAGAAAATGATACAAAATATACAACAAATAGAGCAAAAACTCTCACAGATATACGCATCCAGCCAACATGATTAATTTATATGAGTATAGTCCGTTAGTCAGGTACGATACGTCAGGTCAGGGAATAAGCAAACAGAATAGAAAATATTGTTGGTTGTTCTCGAGAAGAAGCACACACAAAATACAAAGAAATGAAGAGAGAATGAATGGAAGCGAAGCGGGGAACAGGAACAGAAACCGAAACAGGCAAGGGAAATGGGAAAAAGAAAAGAAAAGCACAAATCGCGGAACCTGAAACAAGTAAAATATTATAGGGAAATGTGAAACCAAATGTTAGCTATAAGCTCACTCTTCAAATATGCAAAGCAAATGAATGCAAATGCTCCCCCTTCCCCACTCTCAATCTGCCAGACACACTCGTAAACACATAAAAGCTATAGGTCGAAAGTCATTGCTTGCCAAAGAAGGACTCCAGTAGAGCGATCCAGCCAGTGCTATAACTCTGAATGTACGAGATGTACTCACAGATCAGATCCAGCTAAGCTAACGCTTTTCTGGACAAGAACAAACACCCACAAACGATATATACATATGTGCAACTTTTTCATGTACCTTTCGCATCTTAGATACTTAAAGAAAACACATACAAACATACACTCGGAGGATTATTAACGGCAGCCCAGCCCCTAATCATTGTCTAAAAGTTGTTAACTACAAAAACTACTAAGAAAATATATTGAATTATTTATTGAATGGCGTACAAAGCAGAGCGCAAAAAACTAAAAGAGTTGTAGCAGAGGAGGCTTAGTTAGAGGAAGAGTCATTGCAAAAGTAATATTCATGAACAGAAAAGTTTTCACAAACACACAAAAACCAAACAAAACCGAAAAAGTAACCAAACTACAATTGGGAGAACGCATAAATAAAGTTAAGTTATGTTTAAACAAAAGAGATAAATAACTGTAAAGATAAAGTCAAGAGTCAACAGTTGATATGTTGTAAAAAAAAAAAGATATATTAAAACAAAAAATTTAAACAAAAGTAAGCCAAGGAAGGAAGTGTTAAAGCAGATACTAAATAAATGGTAAAGAACAAATGTACCGATGTGCGAAGATAACCAAAGATACCAAACTTGAAAACAACAAAAATTGATTTATAATTTTAAGTGAAAACTAATTAATAAATAAAGAGGTAACACCTATGAAAAATGTACCCGCCAAAAATGTTTTGAATTTCACATTTGAACTGAAACAGCACTGCCACAACGGAAAAGACCATATGGGTACCGTATGGACAGAGAACACTTAACCCATCGCAGACCACTTCTTAAATTTTCGCTTCGTCAAACCGTGCTTTCCTGCATAATTTATTCCAACAGATAGCGGCGCTCAGGTTTATTATTTTCGACACAATCGAATAAAAGAGAGTAAGTCAATCCCCAATATCAAAATCGAGGAAAATAATTTCCGATCATGAACAGAGAATGATTAACCCATTTTCGACCAGTGGGCATTAAAATACTCTTCACGAAAATGATACAACTTCAAGAATTTTGGCGCAGTTCAGGTGAAAAATATGGAATAATTTATGTTGGTAAAAAAAAAATAAAGAAAAGTTGTATGTACAAGGATAATTTACTAACAGTATTGTTTTCGGCGGTTTACTTAAACTGGTAAACCTGTAAAGGGGCTTAAATGGTGTGTTAAGTGGGTTAAAGTGAACTGATTCTGAGAATTGATTCGTTCATGAACGACCAAACACATGTGGATTTTGAAACCAAAACAAAGTCACGATTTAAACCTTTTACAGGCAAAAGAAAAAGTTTAAAATATGCCAAAAGTAAAGACAGAGAAGAAGAGCCGCGTCCACAATGAAGTGCAAAAGCAAGGTACGTTACGGTGGAAAGGATGAACAATTCCAGTTCTAACCGTGTTTCGTGGCAGGAATTGTATTCAACAAGGATTTTGGGCAGCATATTTTAAAGAACCCCTTGGTGATAACCACTATGCTTGAGAAGGCTGCTCTGCGACCCACAGATGTGGTGCTGGAAATCGGTCCCGGTACGGGAAACATGACCGTCCGCATGCTAGAGAAGGCCAAGAAGGTGATTGCCTGTGAAATCGACACCCGCCTTGCCGCCGAGTTGCAGAAGCGTGTGCAGGCCACTCCGATGCAACCCAAGCTGCAGATTCTCATCGGCGATTTCCTGAAGGCGGAGCTGCCCTTCTTCGACCTGTGCATTGCAAACGTCCCTTACCAAATCAGTTCGCCGCTGATATTCAAACTCCTGCTGCACAGGCCAATCTTCCGCTGTGCCGTGCTCATGTTCCAACGCGAGTTCGCACAGCGTCTGGTGGCCAAGCCGGGCGACAAGCTGTACTGCCGCTTGAGCATCAACACACAACTACTTGCCCGCGTAGACATGCTCATGAAGGTGGGAAAGAATAACTTCAGGCCGCCGCCAAAGGTGGAGTCGAGTGTGGTGCGCCTGGAGCCCAAGAACCCTCCACCTCCGGTAAACTTTACTGAATGGGATGGCCTCACCCGCATTGCCTTCTTGCGCAAAAACAAGACCCTCGCTGCCACCTTCAAAGTGAGCTCAGTGATTGAAATGCTCGAAAAGAATTACAAAGTGTTTCGCTCGCTTAGGAACGAGGTGGGTGGCAGTCATTCTAATATTACCTAAGAAATATCCCCATCCATATCATTTGTATTTTTCAGCCTCTTGAAGAGGGTTTTAACATGCAGGAAAAGGTCATCGGTATTCTAGAGGAATTGGAAATGGCTACATTACGTGCGAGATCTATGGACATAGATGATTTCATGCGTCTCCTGCGGGCCTTCAACTCGAAAGGAATACACTTTAATTAGTCATATTTTCTCCTTAGAAGCTAAGACTGTTAAGCTGTGTTTATTAGCACAAACATTAATATAAATGTTAAGCCAACGAACTGTGTTGTGTTGTAGATAAATTTAAGGCTTTTTTGCACAGAAAACAGGTCTCTATCGAAGCAGCTGATTGTTTGATTCTCAGATTAATGTAAGAGGTTGAACTTCGCACGTTTTGAGCAGATCGGTGCTCTCCACTGCGCAGTTCGGGAGCTCAATCGATCAGTCGTCGTCCAATCGTCTTTTAATGCAGTTCATCGACGATTCATAACCATGTCGATGCGCTTACTTGGTTCTGTGCTGCTGATACTTTCTCTGAGCGGTGCCCTAGTGTTCAGCCAGAGTCCGGATCGAGCAGTTCAGCAAGGTAAATATCAGATATCAGATATTTTACATATGATCGCTAGCGTTTATTTCCTTCAGCTTGCACGCTCTTCAAGAAGACAGTTTTCGAAGAGAGAGTGCCCATCAGCTTCTTTTTTGCCAATGCACCCATCACCTATGAGACGGTCGACTCCTGCCATGGCTCGCGACCTCTGATAGTGGGCGGATCCCCGGCCGAAGCCAAGGAATTCCCACACGCAGCACGACTCGGCAATCGCAATGCTGATAACAAAACGAATTGGTTCTGTGGCGGCACCTTGATAAGCAACAGACTGGTGCTCACAGCAGCCCATTGCTTCTACTCCGAGTTGTAGGTATCAGGAAGGTCCAAGCTTTTCACTGAATATAAAATATACTCTCTCGTTGCAGTGGGGCAGTGAATGTTGTGCGATTAGGAGAGCTAGAGTTTGATAACGACAAGGACGATGCCCAGCCGGAGGACTTTGAAGTGCTAAGCACCACGATGCATCCGGACTACAGTAACCCAGCCCTCTACAATGACATTGGCATCGTTCGGCTGAGTCGAGCGGTCAACTTCAGTCAGTACAAGCATCCCGCCTGCCTGCCCTTCGACGATGGTGAACGGCACGAGACATTCGTTGCCATTGGCTGGGGTGCACAACAGTTTGCCCAAAAGCAGTCAAAGAAGCTCTTGAAAGTCCAGCTTCGCGGCTATGGGCAGCGTTGCCTTACCAGCGTGGAGCCCAACGAGGAGCTACCCAACGGCTACAACGCCAGCACCCAACTCTGTATCGGCTCCCCTGAAAGCAAGGACACTTGCAATGGCGACTCTGGTGGCCCGGTGCTCTCCTACCACAAGGACTATCCCTGCATGTACCACGTGATGGGCATCACATCCACTGGCGTTGCCTGCGACACGCCAGACGTTCCCAGTGTCTACACAAGGGTCTATTACTATTTGAATTGGATCAAGCAGCATCTGGCGAGGACCTCGTGAAGTGAAGGAGATTTATACCTTTTATAGTTTAAGCGAATGCCCGATTTCGCGGAAAAGGAGTCCGTAAGGGCAACAAATATATTATCACGTTATTAATTGCTATATCTTTTTGTGTTGTTATGTTTTTTTGTGAACCAGGAAGAACACTGAACCGGTTTGAAACTGATACTCACTTTCATTACTCATAAGCTATTTTTATTATCATCGAGAGATTTGTTTAGTCTTGGATTGTGAATAGTTTAGCTGATTTTCCTATTTGCAAACCGGCTTAAAGATGGCCAAGATGTACCTCTAAAGATCGGGTACATAATACATGCGTCTATGATTTATAATCAATAAATTCCCGGATTTCTCCCTATCATTTGGTAATGGTAATGCAATCTATCGCTGGACGATAACCCCGCAGAGATCACATTGAATCCGCTATTGATTGAGATTCATTCAGTAGTTGCCAGAGCGTTGCGAATACAACACGAGACGAGAGGAATGCTAACTGCGTTTACAATAAAGATTTACCAGTTGGGAGCTGCCTTGCTGGTGCTGGCAGTAGACTGGATTGCAGCCCAGGATCAGGATTTAGTTAGATGTAAGTACTCAACGATCGGTGGGATTCAGAATCAATGAAAACTGCCTTACAGCATGCGCTGCCTACAAGAAGAGCGTGTTCGAGGAGACCTCGGAATTCAGTCTGCTCTATCCGAACGCCCCGATCATCTACAAAACCAGAGACACATGCACCAGCTACACGCCCCTGATTATCGGTGGAGGACCAGCCGTCCCGAAGGAGTTTCCTCATGCCGCCCGCCTCGGAAATCGCAATGAGGATAACGAAATAAATTGGTTCTGTGGCGGCACCTTGATCAGCAATCAACACGTCCTCACGGCTGCCCACTGCCTCTTCACCGAGAAGTGAGTATCAATAGGGTATGGGGACTGAAGCTCATCAATCTCTAAGCGATTCTCTGTTGCAGTGGAGCTGTGAATGTGGTTCGGCTGGGAGAACTGGAGTTCGACAACGACAAGGACGATGCCGATCCGGAGGACTTTGGCGTTACCAATGCCACGGTGCATCCCGGCTACGCTCATCCAATCATTTACAATGATATTGCCTTGCTGCGACTGAGCCGGCCCGTCACTTTAAACGAGTATAAGCATCCGGCGTGCCTACCCTTCCACGATGGCGCTAGCGACCAGACATTCATTGCCATCGGCTGGGGACAGGTGAAGGTTGTCAGCGAAAGTTCCAAGAAGCTCAGGAAGGTTCGCCTCAATAACTACGGCACCCGATGCAGCACCACGTCCGAGCCGAACGACGAGCTGCCCAACGGGTACAACGGCACCACTCAAATATGCATCGGATCTAAGGACCACAAGGATACATGCAATGGCGACTCTGGTGGCCCGGTGCTGACATATCACAAGGACTTTCCATGCATGTACCATGTTATGGGCATCACCTCCACTGGCAATTTCTGCGACACTCCGGACTTTCCAGGCCTCTACACACGCGTACACCAGTACTTGGACTGGATTAAAGCGGAGATGGGCAAGACGTCGTAATATGCATGGCACAGCCACGTTCCATGCTAATTATAGAGTTTATATTTGCACATATCTGTAAGGGAGGGTAAGCAAAACAAATCGGAACTATGGAAGTTGAATTGTTTTCTTGGAACTCGGGAACAAGGGGAAATTCTGTTTGTTTTACCCATTTGGCGGTGGCTGGCTGCTGATCAATCTGCTCTGCGATGAATAATAGCCGATTTGAAACCCGTTCTAAGCGGTAGGTAGAAGCCTCACTTGATTAGCGGCTGAGCAAAGTAATCGCAGTCAAATTTTTAGCGAACATGATTCTCTTTCTGGTGTCGCTGCTGCTTTACCTACTGCCATGCGGTTTTGGCCAACATCAACATTCGGATATAATAAGTGAGGCCTGTAAGTGAGGCCTGATCTACTGATGATCTGATCTAATCCCTGGACTCCTTCGCAGCTTGCATGAGTATTAAAAAGACCGTGTTCGAGACAACGATAGATTATAGTTTTCTGTTTCCCGGAGCACCTATTCAGCATCGGACTGTGGACAATTGCCGCAGCTATACGCCGTTGATTGTGGGCGGGCATCCCGCCAATCCCAAGGAGTTTCCACATATGGCACGGCTCGGACGTCGCCAAGAGCTCGGCAGGAGGACTGATTGGTTCTGCGGCGGCACACTGATAACTGAACGCTTCGTTCTAACCGCTGCACACTGCCTAGAATCAGAACAGTAAGTTACATTGTCTATTAACTGAAAGAACAAACCAAGTTACACAATGATCACGACTGCTGCAGGGGCGAGGTAAATGTGGTTCGTCTGGGCGAGCTGGACTTTGACACTTTTGAGGATGATGCTGCTCCAAGGGACTACAATGTGGCTACCTACATAATTCATCCGAGCTATGCGGATCCACAGCTCTACCATGACATCGGACTGGTCAAGCTGGCAGAGGATGTCATATTCGATCTCTACAAGCATCCTGCCTGCCTGCCGTTCGTCGATGAGCGCTATTTCAGTTCCTTCATAGCCGTGGGCTGGGGCAGTACTGCCTTTGCCGTCAAACCATCCACGAAGCTCCTCAAGGTGAAACTGGATCGCTACGAGGATTGGGTAGGATTATCCATCATAGTATTGCAAAGACCGATCTGATCCCATGTTTTCTCTAGGTTTGCAAGAAAGTTCTCTCACGAAAACTTGAGGAGTATCCCCACGGATTCGATGCCACCACTCAAGTGTGCGTGGGCTCCGATAGGGCTCAGGACACCTGCAACGGAGACTCCGGTGGTCCTATTCTAATGTACCATCAGAACTATCCATGCCTGTATCATGTGATGGGCATCACTTCGGCGGGTCTGTCCTGTGGGACCCCAGGAGTTCCCGGCATCTACACGCGCGTCTATCGCTATCTGGATTGGATCACACAAACGATTGCCAAGTAGAAATCTACCTCTGATTAGATTAGTTTGATTGAATTTGTAAAAATTCATGTGTATAAGTATATTCATAATGATCTTATAGTAATATGTATATCTAAAATATATGTGGCTGTTATACATATGTTATGCGTGGGGCCGGAAACGGTTACTTGTGACTGTTACTACTACAAACTATCGCCAAGTCACTGAATGTATTCCCTGCATCCCTGAAACATCGATAACAACAAAATGCTCGATAGCCGCGCACTGTAACATCGATAGTTGTTTACCTTTTTTCTAACAAGAAACATTTACAAAATAAGCGTTCATAGCATAAAACAATTAATTTGTAGTGTCTAGATAAATGCAGGAGTGCAGGGAAAATAAAATGTAAGAGTGTGCGCTGCCAAACCGTTCACACCGCTCGCAGCGGCACGCATTTCGCTGCCAATTTCCCCCAACCCCTGTTCGCTGGCTGGGAGCATTTTTAGTTTAGATTACCAGAAACTACGGCCCGGAGGACGGTGGCTAGTCATGGAGGAGGATGTGGGGCTGCCGGAGCCCAGTGCGGATGTGGCACAGTCTTATATAACACGGGCGAAAGTGAATCCTGCGAAGAAGGACAACGAGAAGCGGCGTCGAAAGGATGCTATGCGAAAGGTAATTAGTGTGCGCACCCCCACACACACATGCAAGTGATTGCAATTGTATCGGAGCGTGTGTATCTGTGTTTCCTTGATGTTAATCAAAAAATATTCCTTTCCTTCAGGTCTCGCAAATATTGCGGAAATGCGACTCCCTGCGCTCCGTCGACGACCGCCAGTTTCTGGAGAAGCACCCGGACATGGTGAAGGCCACAAAGAAGCGGAAGGAACGCATCGAGATCTACAAGGAGCGGGTGGTCGAGAAGGAGGATGCCCCGCACGTGATCGAGGCCAAGGTTGAGCAGCTGGCCAACATAATCTCCCAGGCGAAACATCTGATCTGTTACACGGGCGCTGGCATCAGCACGGCCGCCCTCATTCCCGACTACCGTGGTAGCAAGGGAATCTGGACGCTTCTGCAGAAGGGCAAGGACATCGGAGAGCATGATCTGTCAAGTGCGAATCCCACATACACCCACATGGCCCTGTACGAGCTGCACCGGCGCCGTCTGCTCCACCATGTTGTCTCGCAGAACTGCGACGGCCTGCATCTCCGCTCGGGTCTGCCGCGCCACTCGCTCTCCGAGATCCACGGCAACATGTACGTGGAGGTGTGCAAGCACTGCAAGCCGAACGCCGTCTACTGGCGCCAGTTCGACACCACGGAGATGACGGCACGCTACTGCCACAAGACGCACAGGCTGTGCCACCGCTGCTCGGAGCCCCTGTACGACACCATAGTGCACTTCGGGGAGCGCGGCAACCTGAAGTGGCCGCTCAATTGGACGGGGGCAACTCAGCACTCGGAGCGGGCGGATGTGATCCTCTGCCTGGGCTCTAGTCTCAAGGTGTTGAAGAAGTACACCTGGCTGTGGCAGATGGACAAGCCGGCACGCCAGCGGGCCAAGATCTGCGTGGTGAATCTTCAATGGACGCCCAAGGACAGCATAGCCAGCATCAAGATCAACGGCAAGTGCGACCGCGTAATGGCCCAGCTGATGCAGCTGCTGAATATCTCCGTGCCGGTGTACACCAAGGAGAAGGATCCCATTTTTGCCCACGCCACCCTCCTTATGCCCGAGGAGCTGCACACGCTCACGCAGCCACTGCTCAAGAATGCCGACGAAGAGGAGGCCTTCACCACCACCACCGAGGAGACGCAGGACTCGACCATCTCCACGGAAAGCTGTAGCTTCAGCGATCTGCCCATAGGAAAGGGACCCCGCATCCGGACCCCCATTAAGAACGGAAGACGCATCAAGACCAACCTCGACCTGCGGCAGAAGTATGCGAGGAGCGTGTGCTCCAACTTAATAAACGGGAATGATGCAGCGGTCAAGATAGAACCATCCTCCAATGGAGAACTGAAGCTGGACAATGGTTGTCGTCCTGGCTCTGCCCTGCTGCTGGTGGAGGAGGAGGAGACAACAATCAAAGTGGAGACTGAACTGAAGCTGGAGGAGGCACTGGATATCAGTCCCAATCACGATGACGCCCTCCTCCTCACCACCGTGAAGCAGGAGATGCAGTTGCTGGAGCTGCTGCCGAAACTGGAGCCGCTCTCGCTCAAGGAGGAAGTGGAATTCGATATGGAAACGGGGGTCAAGACGGGGATCCACCTAAAAGTGGAGTCGAGCATGGAACTGCCAAAACTAGTCGCTATTCAGAAGACCCACTTGGACGCGAGCCCGAGACCGAGTCTACCGAGTCTCTGCCAACTACCCGTGGAGCTGTTTCTGGAGCCCGTGCAGCTCCCACCGCTGGTGCCCATCGGGGCGCCTCTGTCCACACCCTTCATCGAACCCAAACACATTCTGCCACCAGTGTTCCAGGCCCTCAACATACAGATCCAAAGCGACGGAGCCACCTGCTCGGCGGACTCCACCACCGAAGAAGACGAGGAAAACGAACTGTCGCAAAGTGACATGCTGCGTCAGCACAACGACGAGGAGCTCCTCCGCCAGCTGCCCAGCTGGTACGACGCCAAGTACGCGTACTCTGGCCTGCACAGCATCCTCATACCGCCACCAGAGGATCTCAACATCTGGAACTCGCAGGTGGTACCGAACTTCGCCATGAACCGGTCGGCCGCCAGCTGCGGCTTCTGCTTCGATCGGTATGCCGAGCTGGACTGCCAGTTCTATCGCCAGTGGAACCTCAACCAACGCAAGCACAAAAAACGCGCCCGCAGTGGCCGTTTTGTCGTCTGCGAATGCTGTCCGACTAGCGACGATGAGGACGAGTACGACGAAAACATCTCCCTGGCGCACATTGCGGCAGCGGAGACGGCCAAGCGTCGCCAGCAGTTGACCACCAGTTTTCCACGCAAGCTGGCACGCACTCAGGCGGGATGGTATGGCAAGGGCTACAAGAAGGGTCGCAAGCGCAGATAGACTTGCTCACAATGAACAGATCAGCGGCGACGGATGCGATGCTCGCTTCAATAGTATTTTAGCTGTAGGATCATAAGTTATAGCATAGATGGTAGTGACACCTAGCCTAGGGTAGGGTATCTTTTAATTTGTATAATTTACGTACGTCCATGTCCACGTTTAAGATGGTCTTAACTTATTCACTACCATGTCCTTCGGTCCTCGCTCTTTAATTTTTACAATACTTATCATGTCATTTTAATTGAAATGATTGTATTTTCAATATGAGTTGTTTGCTGATTTGTGTGTCCTATTTGTAGGGATCTTTTGTCCTTGATGTGTGTTCGATATATCTGTATTTATGTGGAAGTCGCAATTCGATTCAATGTACTATATCCTATTTTTAAGGATCTTTGTCACAGCAACCCATTTTATTTACCGCCCACTTTTAGGTTTAATAAACAAGAAAGCATAAGGCTCTACTTAATTGATGTTTATTGGTGTTTCAAAGCAGTCAGCTGTCACAGTTTCATAGCAGTCAGCTTTGATGGTTTCTTAGCATAGCAGACAGCTATCGCGTTTCATGGAAATTAGCTTCGATAGTTTTATAGCAGTCAGGTTTGATAGTTTTGTAGCACTCAAAACTTTTAATGGAGCCATCTTTTCGTGTTTCATAGCAACTTTAAAAAGTTTCAGAGCAGACAGAACTCACAGTTTCATAATAGCCAGATTACATTTATGGCACCCAGCTTTCAAAATTACCTGATTTTTGGTAACAATTTCTAAAGTTTATTCTTTCAATAAATAAAATCAACTAATTGTGTCATTTAAGAGCGAGATTTATCCACCGAAATGATGGGTAAGACCCAGACCAGCGCCAAAGTCTGTCTTTTGATTGGAGAATGGGCCACTCATCCACTTGTTGGCGGATCCGGTCAGATCTATGTGCGTGTTGCGGTCGGCCGAGGACCAGAGATTGGCACGAGCCTCGGCGCCCAGCTGACGACCGAGGCCGGGGAAGTTGCTGTGCGTCACACTGGCACCATGACCCCTGACGTGGGAGTAGTCCAAGGCAGCACCATTGCGTTGGAACTCAAAGCCGTTGGCCAGCTTGTTCTGCGAGGCGAAAGCCTTGGCATCGAGATTGTGTACGCCGTCGTTGAAGAGATTGGCATGGATCTCCTGCTGGAAAGCGTCCTTCACGCCGGGAGTGTGTGTCCTGGTCACAGAGGCACCATGGCCATGACTGTGGGAAACGAGAGAAGCCTCATTAGATACTTGTCTATGAGATGTGCATGTCTCTAGTGATCGACTTACATGTTGTAGGCCGCAGTTCCGCCCGTGGTGACTGGACCGGATTGGGTGTTGCCGGCCGCAAAGGCCTGAACCACCGCATTGTGATCGGGAGTGCCAAATGCCTTGGTCAGATCCATACGGGCATCGGCGCCGCCAGCCGGGTTGGAGGCCAATGAGCCGCCCAGAACCTGACGACGGAAGCGATAACGAGGTGGCTGTGTCGGCGGTGGGTGGTACGGCACCGTTTGGTAATGAGGCAGTGCCTCGGCTATGGCTCCCAGGGCAGCAAATGCCGCAATTAGAATGATTCCCTTCTGCATGTTGTGTTTGGCTTATGTTCTGTTGTATTGGCTATGGAACTCTGACTGATGCCTGACTGAGGCTCGCCTTTCCCTTTTATAGTGAACGCTCTTTACGAGGGGGATCACCTCGTCATCTTTCATCTGTCTTATCAGCTAGAAAATCCCCGCTCAGCTCAGCTCTCTTTTGGGTGATGTGATTTACTTTTGTATTTACTTTACGAGGGCTCTGACCCCATCTCCACCTCTCCCCCTTCAATGCACCACCAACTTGTTGCTCCTTTTTGGTGTGCTTCCCCAAGACTTCCTGCAAGGGAAGATATCCAATGGGCGTTTCATGGTGCTTCAGATATTGAGCCAGAACAAGAGTTACATATATCCCCTCTGGGGAAATATATCCTTCATTAAAATACATATTTCACACTGGA